CAATATTCAATAGATTGTTAAGAAAAAAAACACTTGCGAAACTGTTTTTTTTGCCGTGATTACGCTTGCCAAATCTTGCGAAAAGGTTTATCGCTGGCTCCAATTAGAAAGTCCTCTTTGGAATTTGTGAATTTTTTATTCTGCGTTTTTTTTCAAGATGTGTACAGAATTCTTGTGCAATCCTGTGATATTTCTACGCTCCAAAGAAACATATAATTATGAGTTAAATGCACCGGAGGTCCATTAACTTGTGAGGGGTTTTGATTAGGTCCATCAACTTCCAAAGTGGTTTTTGGGTCCATAAACTTTGTATACCGTATCACTTAGGTCCATACTTTTCCACGTTGGCTTCTCGTGTTTGCATGGCCATGCGAGGCGTTCCTCGACGGTGGGAGCGTTTGATGTTACCGGCCGCCAGCCGGAATAGCTAATGGACATGTCCCTAGCAAGCTACCTACAGCAGCAGATGACGCTGGGTTCAGATCATCGATCGATCTATCACTTCTGACGCGACACACAAATATGAGGTACGCCAAAGAACCGATAGCCGAACAACATAGCGACGAAGCGTGATGACGATGCGCCCGGCCCGGCCTCGCCGTCGACCGCCTCGGGCAGGAGCAAGCGCTTGAGGTTCATGTTGAACACAGCCTAACACTTAGCTGGCCGGATAAGTCGTTCCGACCGCGAAGCCTAGTAGATCGACTCAGGCTGGGGACGTGAGCAGTGGCGACATTCTAGAGGTAGTAAGGATGTGCGGAGAGCCATTGGCATAAGTCCAAGGCGGGTTAGAGTCCCGAACAACCTTGGCAGAGTGGTTCTCTGAGAATGTCGATCTGATCGGACTCGCGACTCCTGAATCGTACCAAAGGTGACTTGTTTGCGACTCCGACGGGAGAAGCAGGGTTTGTGTTTAGGAATACCCCTCCAGCTGGATAGGAATCGATTCGAATCGCCGTCTCTCCCGGATAGTGAGAACTTGACTGAGCAGTGGCAACGTAGATTCAATTAATTTAACGATATGGTTAAATGGATGATGATGATGATAAGGTTGCCAATGAATACCTGATATGGTTATTAATGTTTGCACCCTAATAATATGATTGCTTAGTACAGGTGCTAATATAGTTGTCAGGTTAATGGATAAAAAGTCACTGCTAGTCCAGGCTAAGATTTGATCATTATTACTTATGCTTTTCTGCAAAAAGAAAGTGTCAGCCAGATCCACTACAATAAGATTTGCATAATCCTTGGTGTCATTTATTTTGGTTTCTGGCGGGTAAGTCTAGCTGAGTACATTCCCGTACTCAGGGTTTATTTCTCTCTTGTTGCAGATGACCTTCTATATCAGGGATTCTGTAAGTATTGTCTCCACCCGGCGGGTGATGAAGACTAGATCATGGGCATGATCTCTGTTCCCTTATTTGAATGCTTTTGCGGGCTGTGATCAGCGAACCAGTATGTGTATTTGAACTCGAGTGTATGAGTTAAACTATTTGCTTCCGCATGTTTTACAAGACTTGTTTTGTAATAATGTTGACTCTGTGATGATGTAATCTATTTGCAAACGTCTGTGAAATGTTGTAACGTACGATATGTTATGTTGAATTACTGTGATCTTGGTTGTATGCAAGTTGGTTTGAAATCTCTCGAGATTTCAGTTGACTACCGGGTTTATATGGGCTCAAGTTTGAGAATTTGATCGTTTCGGCGATTGTTTTTGTACTTGTGCTCTTATAAATTGGTCGGTTCTGTGACAGTATTTCTAAGTCTAGAAATCAGCAGCAAATTCGATCTTGTGACCTCGATTTGACTTACTTCCAAGATGATCTAGCTCTTCGTCCAAAAACAAAGTTTGTTCTACATGATATGGACTACAACTTTCATTTAAGGTCCAACCTCAAAACTGGTATAGAACCTATTGTTCTACTTTGACCAAAGTAGGATCACGATGAAGCTTAAATTATCCTTTTTGATCCATTAGAGCATTTTCTTGGCATTTGCCCAACACGAACCCTTCATGACTTTTGTTGTAGAGTTCATCTAGAGTCATTTGAGCAAGGTTGCAAGGTTTGGTGAACAATCTAGAATTCCATTCACTTTATAAAATGATCTAAGCAAGGACATAACTTGTCATTTCATGTGACTTTTTGATTCCAAACTTCATGAAACTTTTCGAGTGCCCAATATAGATGGGTATTGATGTGAGACATAGGAAGATATCCCAATCACACCACCCAAGCATATATCTTGAAAAGGGGTCTGTAGGCGAGCAAAGGTGCCATATCCAAGTTTAGGTTGGGGCTCGTTTCTATAGGTTTGACCTTGACATCTTCATCATTACTTAATATGCCATGTTTGAGCTCAAACCCATTGCTTAACTGGTGGCAAACACCTGGGGTGTTACAGCGAATGCCACCCCTTGTTGGAGGTCGACAGACACATCAACAGGTACTCAATGACCCGGTTGTTGCAGAGCTTAATGCCGGCGCATCCCATCGGCATATTCAGCTCCTGCTTCTTCTTCTTCTCTCGCTTCTTCAGGAGGGTGACGGCGAAGAAGTACCACCACAGGTCGAAGTGGGGACTAATCCCCAGGAATCCCTCACACAGGGCCACGAACGCCGCAATGTGCTGGATTCCGTTGGGATTAAGGTGCCGTACCTCTACCTTGTAGTAGTGCAGCAATCCCCAAAGAAACTTATGGGCGGGGGTGGTGAATCCCCGCTCGTGGAAGTGAGCGAAGGACACGATGTAGCCGTCGGGCGGCGACGGCACGTCGTCATCGCCGGGCAGCCGCCACTCCTCGATGTTGGTCCGCGCGCAAAGAAGACCGCGGCGAACGAGGCCCTCTAGGCGTTGGACGGTGATATCAGAGCGGCACCATGGCTCCATTAGAGGATTGGAGTGGGTCGATGCGAATTCGACGATGGCTGAGACGCGGATGTGGGAGGTTTAGGCAATTGGCGGTGGAGGTTGTAGATGCAAAGGCAAGGAGGCAAAGTACGAAATCATTGGGATGAACCCTTTGGTTTTATAGGGGCGACGGATGCGAGGAAGGCAACCATCCGCCTGGATCTCCGCGCCTGCCATGATCCGCCACGACGTCATGTCGCGGGATATGCGCCCGCAATCTCTATCCTTTCCCTCCGAAGGCGCGCCGGACGTTTTGCCTAACCGGACAGACCAGGACTCTTTACCAGCAAAAGGGATACGGGTCAAAAAGCGTTTCTCCAGCCCGCCTGGGCCTAGGAGTTCGAGGGCTAGCCCATCAACGGTTTCGACGGCCATCCCAAGGCACCCTTACGACAAAGGATGGGCCCACGAGCGGCCAAAACTCTGGCGCACGAGCTTCACGGGAGTCTTGGCCCGCGACCGAGTCTTAGCCGGGCTGACCCTGGCCGGATCCCCGTGAATGGGATACCATGATCCCAATTGAGCTATCCGGCTAAACAACCACCAAATCTCATGACCATACCCATGAAGGGTCCAACCTCGATGAAGATTACGACCGTACCCTTCCTCACTACGTTATGTTTTTCCTTTTGGGGCCTTGCCCTACTGTAATTTCACCGTGCACCCGAGTGTGACCTATAAATAACTGAGTGGCTCATGTAAGAGGGGAGGATCTTTTTTGGGATAAATTAATGGACACTTGATCCACATTTTCATGACCCCTCTACCTTCGCTTCCCTACGCTAGATATCCTACTCTAATTACTGCGGGAAACCCTCGGCCTCTCCCCGCGTGCTCGAGCGAGGGTGAGAGGCCAGGAGTGACCCCACACACTTGACAAGCCATTGCAAAGCATATGCAACATCGAGATAAAACACTTGCAACATATGTGTAAAGCATATGCAACATCCAAATAAACACACTAGCAACATACGTTTGAAAAAACAGATGAAACATTTCGACGCTTGCAACATAGGTGTATAGCCATTGCAACATATACAACATCCCGATCTACTTTTGCAACATCCATATGAAACACTTGCAACATACCTCTGAAACATCTAAAATACTTTAAAGATACGCTTGCAACATGCGCTTTCAACAAAAACTTGGTAGGCGGAGTACTCCATAGCGGGATCCGGCTTTGCGGTCACGGTGGAGAAGAAAGAAGGCAGTGAGCGAGGGGCCACGCAAGCAGCGGCGGCCATCCAAGCCAGCCCACGCTTGGCGCGGCACGGGCGGCCCGGCACACAGCCGTAGCACGCGCAACCAGCCCGATGACTGCCTGGTCGAGGGCGCGGCCGGACCGAGCAGCGAGAGGCGTGGGTGGAGCGCGCGGCAGGTGAGGGCGAGGAGTGAGCCACGCGAGATGGGTCACTCGGCAGGGAAGCACGGTAGCAGCGATGGGCGCCCTGGCCTACCATAATCGAAAAAAATCGTTTACAGGAACGAAGGGGGAGGTAGTGGTAAATTCCCTTACAAGCTGTTACAAGCTTCGACATATCTTTTCTTCTTTCCTCCATGCTGTATAAAGGTTAAATACAATATTCAATAGATTGTTAAGAAAAAAAACACTTGCAGAAACTGTTTTTTTTGCCAGGATTACGCTTGCCAAATCTTGCAGAAAGGTTTATCAGTGGCTCCAATTAGAAAGTCCTCTTTGGAATTTGTGAATTTTTTATTCTGCGTTTTTTTTCAGTAAATGTACAGAATTCTTGTGCAATCCTGCGATATTTCTACGTTCCAAAGAAACATATAATTATGAGTTAAATGCACCAGAGGTCCATTAACTTGTGAGGGGGTTTTGATTAGGTCCATCAACTTCCAAAGTGGTTTTTTGGGTCCATAAACTTTGTATACCGTATCACTTAGGTCCATACTTTTCCACGTTGGCTTCTCGTGCTGCGTGGCCATGCGGGCGTTCCTACGACGGCTGGAGCGTTTGATGTTACCGGCCGGCCAGCCGGAATAGCTAATGGACATGTCCCTAGCAAGCTACCTACAGCAGCAGCTGACGCCGGGGTTCAGATCATCAGATCGATCTATCACTTCCTGACGCGGCACAGCGCGAGGTACGCCAGCAGCCGATAGCCGAAGAACATAGCGACGAGCGTGGCGACGCATGCGCCCGGCCCGGCCTCGCCGTCGACCGCCTCGGGCAGGAGCAGGCGCTTGAGGTGCCCGCCGTACTGCACGGCGATGAGCAGGCGGTAGCAGTAGTAGGTGAAGGACGTGTGCTTGGCCCACACCATGAACCCCGGCACGTTGTGGACGTAGAACCCGCCGGTGAGGAGGTACGCCAGCATGACCACCATCACCAGCATGGACGCGCGCTTGGCGTCCATCATGACGGCGCCCACGGCGAGTCCCAGGCCCTTGACGACGAGCACGTAGCCCAGTATCACGGCCAGCGTGAGCGCGAACGCGGCGGGGGGAGGGTTGAGCGCGGCCATGAGGTACACCACGACGGTGAACGCCGTGGGCAGGGCGAGCTCCATGGGCAGGTCCCCCGCCATGCGCGACATGAAGTAGGAGGAGAGCGCGTACATCCCCGACGCGCGCTCGCGGGCGAGGACCGGCCGCTCCTGCGGGAAGGCGAACACGGCGTTGAAGGAGGCGAAGACACCCCATAAGATGGAGACGAAGAAAAGCAGGCCCAGCCGGTCCTGCACCGCCAGCGGCGTGGACCGCCACCAGCGCGGGGGCCATGATCTGGAAGATGTGCAGCGACGTGAACGTCTCGTGCCGACGCTCCTTGAGGCTGTGCCGGAGCAGGATCGTGAACTGGTTGCACCAGCTCGTGCCGAACCCGCTGCAGCTCTCCATCGGTGGACCCGTTCCAGAGGTCGGATACAATGCCTACGACGGCGGCGTTCCTGCGGAGCAGTGGCGCGAGGACGGCACCGGTGCACCGGGCGGCGGTAGCGCGGGCGGCGCACGTGCACGCCCCAACGTCGTCATCGGGCCGTGGCGGATGACCGCGTTCCAGAGGTGGAGGTGCTCGCCGAGGTGGAGGTGCTCGGCCACCTCCGGCACCGCAACATCGTCCGGCTGCTGGGGTGGTGCACTGACGGCGAGGCCATGCTGCTCCTCTACGAGTACATGCCGAACGACAGCCTGGACGACCTCCTGCACGGCGATGCCGGCGCCGGCGCCGCGGGCAAGGCGGCGCTGGACTGGGACACACGGCACCGGATCGCGGTGGGCGTGGCGCAGGGCGTGAGCTACCTGCACCACGACTGCGTGCTGGTCGTGGCGCACCGCGACCTCAAGCCCAGCAACATCCTGCTCGACGCCGACATGGAGGCGCGCGTGGCCGACTTCGGCGTCGCCAAGGCCCTCCACGGCGCCGCGCCCATGTCCGTCGTCGCCGTGGTTCTGCCGTGGCAGCTGCCGCTGCTGTTCACGACGTTCGCGCTCATGTCCCTCGGGTCAGGCGGCATCCGGCCCTGCACGCTAGCGTTCGGGGCGGACCAGCTGGACAAGCGGGACAACAGCGCCAAGAACGTGCGGACGCTGCAGACCTTCTTCAACTGGTACTACACGGTGTTGGGCCTCTCCATCGTGTTCGCGGCCACCGTCATCGTGTACATCCAGCAGGCCAGGGGCTGGGTCGTCGGCTTCGCCGTGCCCGTCGTGCTCATGGTGGGCAAGATGGAGATCCCCGCGGCCTCCTTCGGCGTCTTCGCCATCCTGACGCTCACCGTTGGGTAGCCGTGTACGACCGCGTGCTCGTGCGGCCACTGTCCCGGCTCACTGGCCACGCGCGCGGGCTCAGCTTGCGGCAGCGGATGGGCGCTGGCCTCGCGCTCACACGAGAGCGTCCGCCGAGCCGCTGCGATCGCCTAGGAGTTCCGCGACCCGAGGCACCCGGACGAACCGGTGCACATGTCGGCCATGAAGCTGGTGCCGCAGCACTGCCTGACAGGGCTCGCCGAGGGCCTGAACCTGATCGGGCAGCTCTCGGGCGCGCGGGTGAGCCGCCACTGCGGGCGTGCGAGGAGGTGCCGTTGCCGCCACTGTGGGCGCGGGCGAGCTGCTGCCGCGGCCACACAGGCGCGCGAGCAGGTCGTCCTCCGCGGTGGGGTACCTCGCGCTGTGCCGCGTCAGGAAGTGATAGATCGATTCTGATGATCTGACCCCCGGCGTCAGCTGCTGTTGTAGGTAGCTTGCTAGGGACGTGTCCATTAACTATTCTGGCTGGCCGGCCGGTAACATCAAACGCTCCAGCCGTCGTACGTGACCACGGCATCATGCCACATCAGCACGAGAAGCAACGTGGAGAAGTATGGACCTAAGTGATACGGCATACAAAGTTTATGGATTCAAAAAGCCACTTTAAAAGTTGATGAAACTAACCGAAACATCCTCACAAGTTAATGGACCTCTGGTGCATTTAACTCTATAATTATTGTTTGAGCTGAACCTCTACTGCAATGATGGCAGGACCCTGTTCCAGATTAGGACTCCACCGAAAGCAGAGTTTTAGGCAACCGGTTTTGCGCGGCTGCATTTGGACAGGCGAGAACCGAGGACAGTTGATGAATCAAGAAGGTGCAGGAGAGCCGGACTGCGGGAGGCAGGCGGCATCTGGGCTGGGATGCGGTGGAACGGAGAGGGCTCGGCGGAGGGCAGCCAAACTAACCTCCCTCGCTGCCGCCGTACGCCGCGGACATCCATGTCCAACGCTGTGGCTTTCTTAATTCGTATGGCATATACCCTCTCAGATGCCGCGTCAAACATGTTATTAGCATATATATACAGTCGGGTCTTTCTTATTCTATTTCTTTTCTTTTTTAATATATAATATATAGATCGTGAGTCTTATTCTTTGGTGAGACAAGTTATTAGCATATATATATCACCATGGGAATATGGGATACCAAACAGCATATCACCGGCTTTTTTTTTTGAACGCACATATCACCGGCCTCAGATCGGCCCATCAGCGCATGATCATTATTCAAGTGTGAGATAGGAATGATATGACAAGCGGCGGCTCACATCCATGCCATGCATGAAACTACTGCACAATTATTAGGCCTTGATTAGTTGGCGAATTTTTTTAGAAATGGTACTGTAGCATTTTCGTTGTTATTTGGTAATTAGTGTCCAATCATAGTCTAATTAGGCTTAAAAGATTCGTCTCGTGAATTTCGTCTAAACTGTGTAATTAGTTTTATTTTTTATTTATATTTAATGCTTCATGCATGCGTTCAAAGATTCGATGTGACGGAAAATCTTGAAAAATTTTGCAAAATTTTGGGAACTAAACAGGCACTTAGTATCTACAGGCCGATCGAATAATTGAGCTTTTGGGAATGGAAAAAGGTGTGTTGTGCCAAAGCATTTTGAGAAAATTCCTTCGTTGCAACAATCTCTTCGTTGCCATTCAAAATTACATGTTCCCTTCGTTGCCATCAGTTTTAGATTTTCCGTTCCGTCGTTGCCACTGCTGTTACAGAGTAGTCATGGTGTGACTTCGCTCCCACGTGCGCTACGAGGCTGCCAGCACGCGGCGACGGTGATGATGGCGTTCCCGGTGCTACGAGGAGCCCTCGAGGTCGTGGCCACCGTGGAGGCCGCGGCGGGCGGTGGTCTGCTGCGAGGAGGAGATCCAGCCGGATGGGCCGCCTCAACAACTCGGCGCGAGGAGGAGCGGGTGAAGCGCCTCTACGCCGAGGCGCAGGTGGCGCGACGAAGCGCAGTCCAACGAGGTCATGCCAACGCGCTCCGCTGGGCGAAGCTGCAAAGAAGCGCCGATGCCCAAAGAAGCGAATCTCGCGCGCCATTGGTGTCTGGCACCGGCAAAGACCGACGACGACGAAGTCGTCGCTGCCACGGGAGAACGACTTTTGCCCGCCGGAGCCGAGCAAAGCAGCGTGGGGGGAGCACGGGTGGAGGCCGAGACATCGCCGCCGCCGCGTCTGACGGAGGACGTCGCGCGTGTGTGGGCGAGGGCGCGCTTCAAGGTGCTGCTGCTTGCTGCTGCCGCCGCCGCTGCCGCCACTTCTGTGCCAATCTCGTATCTTACCAATCTCGAGGCGAGGCCGCTGAAGACGGAGCAGCGGTCGCCGCCGGTGAGCCGAAAGAGAAAGGGGCGCTGCACGCACGCACTGCTTCGAGGTGGAAAGGAGGTCCCGCCGGGCCGTGCAAGCCGGTGACCACGCTACCACGGAGGAGCTGGAGGCGAAGGCGACCACCAGGAAGCAGAGGAGGAAGAGAAAGCGGGAGTAGCGAATGACGGCGGACGCAGTAAGCAGGCAGCGAAGGACCGGGGGCGCGAAACGCCGTTGGCGGACGTTGCGAGCAGGGCGCGGGCCGGCGCGGCACCCGGTGTGATTAACGAAACGACGGCGGCGCGTCGAGCAGGACACAGGCCGGGGAGGCGAAAAGCGGACACGGCGAGCAGGGGAGAGCGCGAGCTCCGCTCCGCCGACGTGGGATATATCGTAGCCTTGCGGGCGTGCGCGAGCTCCGCGGCTGCCTTGCCGGCACGGGTGGTCTCCGTCGCGGCCACGCAGGGCGGGCGCAGGCTCCGCTGCGGCCTCACGGGCACGCGTGGGCTCCGCCACGGCCACGCAGGGCGGGCGCGGGCTCCGCTGCGGCCTCGTGGGCACGCAAGCGCGGGCACAGGCTCCACCGCGGCCTCGCGGGCGCGTGCGGTCTCCGTTGTGGCCTCGCGAGCGTGGGCGCGGGAGGCATGGCGTGTTCGGCTGCATTCTCTTGAACAGCGCGCGTGTCGCCGTCGTGTCCCCGGCGCGGGCGTACATGTCCAGCAGCGCGGTGGGGTGGAGAGGGAGTGTGCGGTGCGGAGGAGGCCGCAGCATCACGGAGAGGAGCGCCAACGCCGCGGTCGGGTTGGGCGTGCTGCGGAGGAGCGCCCCGGCGAGATCCAGGCGGCCGAACACAGCATTTGCGGGCGCTCATCCAATTGAGACGCCTGGCAGGGCACTAGGCACTGGGCGCCGCCGCAGATAGAGACAGTGAGCTGGGGAGATAAGAAAGGGAGACTCGCGCTCGCGTGGCCAAAAATCCCTGCAGCCAGCGAACCCGCATGGTCTCCGCTCCATGGCCTGCATGGCGCATGGGAGCCAAGTCACGCCGTGACTCATCTGTAACAGCAGTGGCAACGAGGGAACGGAAAATCTAAAACTGATGGCAATGAAGGGAACATGTAATTTTGAATGACAACGAAGGGATTGTTATAGTTTTCAATGGCAATGAAGGAATTTTCTCAAGCATTTTCCCCTGGATGATTCGGACGCTTTTGAGGCGGCTATGGAATTTTCCTAGAAGGTTAGTTGACAGGGGAGAGAGAGAGAGGAGAAGAATAATACGGCAGGTCTATCATGCATGGGACTGTGATTTATTTAGGACTTGGAGAAAAAAGAACTGATTGGATGAGATCTTGGTTGATATAAAATTATTGCCTGTACATACACGTAAATAAAGGACACAAGTTAATTTAAATGTTTGCCTCTATAAAAGTAGTGCCATTATTGTATCTAAGAAA